CAGGTCTTCACGGATCTTCTTTAGTTTTTCATCTTCCACCTTGCTATGCTTCTGGAATAATGAAAAGCATAAAATTCATCAAACAAATTTAATAGCTATGGTTACATCATAATATCTAGGCAGAAAATTCACAAAAAAAAATTAGCATTTCCAAAGCACCTGATCAAATTCGTAAAGATTCTTTACAGCCTTCGCAATTTCTTCCTGATTCTTCTCATCCCACTTCTTCCTTCTCTCTTTCTGCATGCCAACAAAAAACAGAAGGAAATCAGTAAAATCTAATACAAGGTTGTACGAGGAGTGCAAATGAGTCCAACATACAGTCAATGATACCTTCAAACGAGAAGTCAAGTCGGATGCGAATAGCTCGTAAACCAACTTGCAACCAACACGCCATTCTCCAGAAGGGTTTTTCCACGAAGAGTTTACAGTCAAAAGCGCCCCTATAACAAGTCATTTAATCAGAAGCAATTCCAGACATAAAACAAGAAAGTTTCAAGCAATCCAAAAAAATAATCAGATCATCAACCTGATGCCCCATGAATCCGACCATTTCCATCGGCTTTCACCACTGTGGATGTATCTATATCCCCACTTCCGGTGCTGAATGGGGAAAAGTGTCATTGAGCCAGTATCACATTAAAGTAACCAAGAACACCAGATGAAAAAATTAGAAGTAAACGGTATATATACCAGTCTATAACGTCTAAAATCTTCGGCTTTCCATCAGATGTAACTTGCAAGCCAGCAGCAGCTGGATCAACGCGAGAATCTGATAACACAAAGTTCCGTTGATCAGTAACTACAATCCTTATCCGACAGAACCCAAGTCGAAGACTTAGTTCTCGAGCACAAAAAAACCGAACCATGAAATTAGCGACAGGAGCATTCTCCCCGCCGCCGCGAGACGACGTCAATGTGTCGGAGGAAGAACAAGGCATGGCCCTGAACCCAATCCTCTCCCTTCGGAATCTCGGACAGCTTCCAAGAGATTTGGGTCTGCGAGGGAACAGAGAAGAAAACAAAGTTAAACGATGACGACGGAGAAGCCCGCGAACACGAGTGCACTAAAAGCGGGGTGCCGTACAGATGCATCGGTTGGTTTTTTCATTTCCTTGAGGGTAATTTGGTAATTCCAGGCTTCGAAGGCTCCGTCGAGCATCTGTACGGTTTTGTCCTGTCGATGACGTGATTCCGTTCATGTACGGATTAAACGGACAGGATTCGGCGGGGCCCGCAAAAAGATATTTGGAAGTACACGATTTTATTCTCTATGTATTAACAATATCAAAGGAAGTTCCGCGAAAATTAACCGGTAAGTCAAAATGTGCATGCCCAATTAAAAATTTGATACATATATTAACTAATTCAGAAATTGCTTCCAAATTCAAACCCAATTACAAATGACTTTTATTTTCTGTTTTTATGGTCGGATCCGAATTCATAAATCCTGTTCTTGGTTTTGTGTTTTTAACAGATAATATAACATACGATTTTACCAAAAAATATATATAACACACGTTGTCACTTTCAATAAGATTATCAAATCTCGGGAGAGAACATTTGATTCACGAGCCACCATATTTGATTCCAGTCGACGAAACAGTGTAAAAATGAATTAGATCGAACCAAACTCAAAATTTACGAAGTCATAACGATTCATCATCGGCACCATACACGGAAACTGCCCTTTCTTTATGGTGGTCTTAGTTACGTACGCCTTGTAAAATATTCCTTTCTAATGTGTACAAATAACCTTACTACTATCAATTATATTTATATCTAAACATGTGGTTTTAATTCTTAATTTTTTTTATTATTTGTTTAATTTTGTAATTGATATTAGTGGAACTTTTTCTTTCTAACCCGTTAACATCCGTTTTTTTTTATTATAGCCAAATATTATTAAATCCGGTATTTCACATGTAAGAAATTAGCAAGTTGAATTGACAACAAGACCCTTTGTAAAATGTGACAAATTTGATGAGATTTTTCGACGAAAAGCTTTTTTTTTTCTAAAAGAGAGGGGAGTTTGTGGGGAAACGGACCAGCATCCATTGCCTTTCATAGGCCACCAAGTGGCTCCAACCCAACTCCTCCAGCAAATTCAGCTTCATTTCGTACAGTTTCTTCTTCGGAGGCTCATTCTCGCTCTGAATCATTTCCTCCAACACCTGAAACCACCCATCGAACATTTACACACCCAGATCATTTTTAGCTTCAGATGATTTTTACCACATCAGAGATTGTACATATGCTTTCCTTGTAGGGGGAGAAAGAAGTACCTTCAGCGCGATCCCGAGGCGTGACAGCCGTTTCTCGCGTAGGACACTGAGTTTACCGAACTTGGACGATTTCACATCGACCCATTTCATCAGTTCTTTGAAGTTCTCTTCGAATAGATCTTTCCTGCCACCGCTCTCTTTGCCTTCTTCCTTTTCCGCCTTGAGTATCCAAATCGATATTGTTAATGAGATGCCAAAAACATTTCATCATATGACTCCATAAACACCAGAACATATTCTTGTGAGAATGAACAGAGAAACTATAATCGATACAGAGGAAATACATCGATGTCCTTTACCTTCAGATTCTCGATGGCCACCATAGCTAACCCTTTCTGGTACAACGCCTCTGCCAGCTGATCACGGGTCATCTCCATCTTCTTCTTTATGTTCTGATTTCAAAAATAACATCGTGTATAAATCAGATTCGCGAATCTTGAAAAACCATATACAACATATAGACACTGAGACAAACTTTCGGAGGTCAAATGCTATACAAAAACAGGATCAAAGTGAAAGAACTTTGTAAACAAAAACTGCAAACACCTCAGCTTCCTCATCGTCTGGATCGTTTTTGAGTGGCAAGAATCTTGCCAACTCATCCATGTCGATACTGTCTATCACTTCGTTTGCTGCATCTATAACCTGAAAAGAGAGACTATCAGCTTCCATGCCCATATCTAGATCACCTATCATTTAATGCGATTTCTAAAGAACAAGAAATTCTTATATTGCTTGCTCCTCCTAATTATACCTTTTCATGGTGATTGATTTTCTCCTCAGCATCAGATCGAGAAAGCAGACCTTCCAAGATCTTAGCGAGCAATGGAGTATACTTAGGGTATTCAGACTGCCAAAGGAACAGATTATGCACATCGGTTTACAGCATATTGGACTACTAACAAGCTCTCTCTAAGATTTCCTCTGTTAGAAAATGGTATAAACATGTTTTCATGAGAAGAGAGAAAAGCATTTGAACTGGAAGAATATATAACCTTAAGACAACCACACAGCTTTTTCCATTCTGAACGCTCTTCCTCAGTTTCTTGTTTTAGGCTTCCGAGAAACTTGATCTTTGTGTCACGAATCTGATTACAAAGATTCATCATCATCAAGAAAAGAGAGTCGAAAAGAATTTATTCAGATATTCACCAATAAGTTCTGGATAAAATTATCTAAAAGTATATCCAGAATCGAAGAAAGGCATGGAACCAAATTTTTGCCCATACCTCTTCCTCCATGCGCTCCGATACAGATTTAGTGCTAGTTGGAGCAGAAGATTTCCCTTTTTCTTCCTCAATCTATCAAACAAAGTGTCATATATTTAACAAAAGAGACTACTTTCACGTGCAAACCAGGTAGCAAAGACGGGAGGAAAGAAAAGATAGGTTTATTAGAAACCTTGTTTGGTGGAACAACATAAGATATCTGATAAGAAACGGGATTATCTTTCGGATTTTTCCCTTCTTTATCATCAAATGATAATTTCCCATGTGAGATATCTCCCAGTAACACAGATCCTTGAGGAGCATTCTGCAGGTACAGTTAAATAGTAAATCGATAACCATCTGAGAGAAACAAATACCACAGAATCAATTATGTCAGCAAACAATCTATGTTCAAAACCTTGGGCAGCTTATCCGTCACCGGTTGGCTCACATAAAACGCTTCCTTTTTCCTGCAATATAATAAAAGTAAGAGATGCATGTTTAGGGAACTGAGTGTCATATATCAAATAAGAAAATTTAAGGAGGTAATCAAAACAGAAAGAATACCCAGGAATTAAAACAGATGATTTAAAGGCACCATTTCCCATGACACAACCGTCTGGTTCAGAATAGAAGTTCAGCCGAATAACCTCCTGCAATGCCAAAAGAAAAAGGGTGGAAAGGAGGAAACGAGAAATGGAGAGAAGATATCAAAGGTTTACATCAAGAATGAATAGAGCCGAGCCTTCTTCTCAGACATTTAAACACCTGCTTTATAAGCATAACAGGTCAGTAAATTCCTAAAGAAGGAAAAATCTTCAGACAAAACCATATGATAGGCGCTATGTGCCTAAACTCTACTCTTCAACCGCAAGATGTTAAATGCATAAGAGAAGGGACAAAACATAAACATTAAAAATGATCCAAGATTTGTCCCCAACCTGGTTCAGCACACATACTCTCCTGATAAAGATTATATTTTCAATACAAAGTAAAATTTAATTCACAACCTTACCTTTTCTGCCAAATTTCTTTCGATAAACAAAACAAGTTGCTTCAACTTTTCCAGCAACTGCACATTTTCATGCCTGGTGAAAGCAGTTAGAATAAGAAGAGACGGTCAGGTACAAACA